ACTTCCTTCCCCTGAGACCACCCCTGCCCTCACCCCCGCCAGCACTAGCAACACTACCAGTACCCCTTCCTCCTCCTATACCTCCAGCTCCTGGCTGACCAGCACTGCCCATGACACTTGGTAGGTGGGCAGAGATTTGGCGACTCCTCCCAGTGCAGGCCAGGTCCTGCTGGAGTTGACCTCCTCGGGACACTGTGCCCCTGTTGTCATGGCCCAGAAGCTTGTGGAAGAGCCAGGAGGCTTTTCTGGATGTTGGTGTAGGAGCATCTGGGCCTGTAAGCCTCTGCTCATGTTGCTTTGGGCAGCACTCATAGCTTTCAGACGCCATTTTTTGTGTTGGCAAAGCCGCAGGTACAGTTCTCACCAGGACTCGCCCTTTGTTGGTTTTTAGTCTTTGAATGCTTCTCTATGCCAGACTTGCCCCAGTTTGTCTGTACTGCTTTGGGCCAATGTCCTAGGCAGTTGTGGGGAGGAGACTTGTGGAAGATCATGCAAAGTGCATCTTGGAGACTCCTATTAGGATGTGAGGGCTTAACAGGCCTGAGACAGGGAAGGGCTTAGAGGAGGAACTGTGGGAAGAGGTGGGGCAGTCAGAGGACTATATAAGGCAGGCAGCTGGCAGGCAGAGTCACTCTGGACGCTGCCCGTCAGTGTCACAGGACTATATAAGGCAGGCAGCTGGCAGGCAGAGTCACTCTGGATGCTGCCCAGCATTGTCACGTGCCTCACAGTGACCAACCAGAGCAAGTGCTCTGAGCATGGTGAGTGACCCATGGCATCCAGGAACCCAGGTGACTGGCCCAGGCACCTATGTAAACGTGGACATGGTTGGCAAAAGGATGGAGGTGGCCAGGTGGGTGTGTGGAGCTGTGAGGCAGATTCAGGAGTGGCTGGCCTCCAGCACAGATGCTGAGGAGCTCCACAAATCCTTGAGTCTGCTTTCAATCATTCCCATCACAGCAGAAATCCTTGCCACCATGACTGTCAGAAGCATAGTGAAGAGTTTTAGGAAGCACCCACAGGCGGCCGGTTCGGCTAAAGAACTGTACAAACACTGGAAGACCTTGACTGTTCTGAGCCACAAATCAGAGGCTCTGAGCCAGGTCCCTGACCAGGATGGAGGTCTAGAGCCCAGGAAGTATGATCTTGGGCAGGGGGAGGGGCAGAGGGAGGTGGAGCATGGTGAGAGGGAGCAGGAGGACCTGTTGAAGATGTTAAATGTGGAGCTGTTCTCTCAGAGCAGGGTGAGTGAACCCCTGGATGGAGGAGTCCAGGTGTGTGGTTCCCGTGTCTCTGTAGACGTGGCCAGGGGTGGCATGGGGACGCAGACCACCGAGTGGGTGTGGGGAGCCGTGCGGCTGCTCCAAGAGCACCTGACCTCCAGCACACATTCGGAGGAGCTCCACAAATCCTTGAATCTGCTCTCAGTCTTGCCCATCACGGCAGAAATCCTTGGTGCCACGGGTGTCAGAGAGATAGTGAAGGGTTTTAGGAAGTACCTGCTGGTGGGCAGTATGGCAAAGGAGCTGGACACACGCTGGGAGGCCTTGGCTCTCCTGGGCTGCAACCCAGCACTTCTTTCGGCGATTCTACAGCAGGTCTCTGAACAGGATGGCGCTCCAGAGCCCAGGAAGGAGGCTCTTGTGCTGTCAGACTCAGGGTGGGTTCAAGCGGACAAGTAGAGTCAAGTGTAGTTTGGGTCTCCGGGGGGAAAAGCCATGGTGCCCAGGAAGGGAGGCCCTTGCTCTGGGCCAGAGTCCCCAAGGCCTGGGAAGCTGTGTGAACTCCAGGGACCTGGCAAGCAGACTGCCAGCCCTTGACCCAGTAGCAGGTGGGAGAAGCATCCCCAAGGGGGCTGCATCAGTTCTCATCATTGGTCCATGGACAGCTCCAGAGGCCCTCAGGACCACGAGCCCAATGGTACAAGGGGCATACCTGGCATCTGGCACCCTCCCAAACTTTAGGTCCAGGACTCACCAAGGTGCCCACAAGAGGGTCTCCCTTAGGAACCCCAGGGACAGGGCAGGGCCAGACCAAAAGAGGGATGCTGTTCCTCTGTGGAGGAGAAATGAGGATTAGGCCCTCTAAGGTCAGACCTATGGCCACCCAGAGAAGGTGTGGGGGCAATCACCAGAGCCAATCCCAGCAACAGCATGAATTCCTCTCACCTCCACAGTTTTTTGAGGATGCCCTCAACCAGACCTAGCTGGTGCGGAGGAGAGAGAGGACCAGGGGCAGAATTCGTGCCGCTGTCTGGGCTCTAGGAGGTCTGACAGGGAATGGCTTCCATGGCCCCAGTAGACCCTCAGATTCGGTGCATAGCTCAGTCTGGAGGGTGAGCACGGGACAACTGGCCCCAGCCCCAGCCAACTATACAGCCAGTGTTACCAATTCCACACAAGAAGCCAGGGTGCCAATGGTTCTGCTCAGCAGTGAAACCCCTAATTTCCCTGGGTCGCAGGTCAACTCGGGTGGGCTGCCCGACCTGTAGTGGATGTACCCATTCCCTCCACCTGGGCTCGGAGCCTCTGTGCCTAGGAAGTGGGAGAAAGAGAAGCAAAGAGGGAGGGGAAGAGGCAGCCTTGCCTTTGTCAGAATGTCCCTGAAGATGCCTCTGTACTGCAGACCAAAGCGCGGCTCCCTTGCTCCCTGGAGCACCCAGGAATTCCAGGGCCTCCCACAACACAGTGCTCCAGTCAATCCCAGGCCGCCCTGCATTCTCCGAGCACCGGTTTCCAGGACATATACCCCTTCTCTGCACCAGAATCAAGGTGAGAGTCACCGCAGGCCTGTGGCGCACAGGGTCTGCAAGCAGTGAGGACCAGGGTCTAATCTGCCCAAGCCAAGAAGAGCAGAGGCCAACAGGTCCAGAAGTGTCTACACCCACCTCAGAAAAGCCACCTGGCCCTGGAGCAAGCTTCTTGGCCAGACTGTAAGGCCAGCCATGTCCTGAGGAGGCAAGGTTAGTCCAAACTGGCCCCTGCTGGGAGGTTCCACATCGCCACCCACCTAGCAAGCCTGCGGGCATTGCAGGTCAACCATGAGCTGGAGGTGCAGGAGGAGGAAGGGGTGCTGGTCGTGTTGCCATTGGTGGTGAGAGTGGAGAAATGAGTGGTCTCAGAGGCAGGGTGTTTCATCCCCAAGTTCAGCCAACAGCCTGTGCCCCTTTCGGTACCACCGAGGCTGCCGCCAGGCCTATGGGCAACACCAGAAAGGCCGCTGATGTAAGAACCTCCCGGCTCGTGGTCAAGACCATTCTGGAGGACAACCAAGGCAATGACAAGTTCCCCTGGTGATGATCTTAATAAGCCTGGAACAACTGGGAGATATCCAAAGGACACTGCCCACTGGTTTTCCAATGCCTCTGCCAGGGCAACAGTTTCACAATATTTCCACTCTTACCTTACCCCAGGACCCTAGCACCTCATGGCTACTCCTCCCTCCTTAACTCTTGCCCTTGTACAACTTGAAGGAAGATGTCCTAATTAACAGGTATCTCTCACGTGGATTGGGTTTAGAAGATATATAAATTAATAAGTTTTAATACTCTTGGAGATGGAGGTGTTTTCTCCCATTCATAGGGAACAGCTGTGTGAAGATGCAGCATGTGCCCACACACAGACCCACAAAGTGCGCACATTGTGCAGATTATTTGTGGATAGGGAAAACAGTCTAACATGGTCAAAATCAGTGAAATAATTTTATACTAATATATGAATAAATAAGTGCAATATTGTGGGGGGATTTCAAATCACAGGGAACATCTGTATAGAGCAAAGAATAGACATACACATGTACACAACAAACACACACAACCAGTGTGTTTGTGTGTCTCAGGCTCAAATAAAGCATAGACTACTCAATGGGCCTCTGGATAGGGAAAAGGATCCCATGTTTTCCAAAGGGAGGAAAAGATGTAGGACCTCTGACTCAAGATTTCAATACTAGGTACTCAGGATCTTGGGATAAGAAGACCATGATTCCAAAAAGATCAGATAGGAAAGTACAGGAGCCTGTCATTTCCACTGAACTACTCTTCCCCAAAGGCATCTCACCCTCAAAATCATTACTGGAAGTGGAGTTTTTTTTTTTTTTTAATTTATTTTATTTGTGAAAATACTGTACACAGGGGTTACAATTACATACCCAGGATAATGCGTACATTTCTTACCAAGCATTGCAGCCTCCTCCTTTGTTTACCCTTCACATCCCTTTGCAGCCTCCCCCCTCCCCCCCCAGTCCCAATCCTCCCCCCGCCCCTGCACCGATATTGTGAAGCTCGTTTTGGACATGACAACTTGTACTTCTCATTGTTGCAACAGGCCCACCTGTATCCTTAAACGACTTGTTTTTCCCCATCTCCTCCACAAGTTATACTGACATCAAATATAGTGAAATCAGGGGTTATACTGTGGGGGAGGGACATACAAAGCAACAAAGAAATAATCTTATAAATGCTTTAGAAACACATGCATGAAATAAATAAAACATTAAAATACATATCTAAGGGTTCATTTTCCTAACATCACATTATCTGACCTTTTCCGTTTGACTCAAATATATACTAGATATTGCAAATAAGGGAAACCATGGGGCCTATGTTTCTTTGGGCCTGGCTTACTTCGCTTAATATAATTTTTTCCAAGTCTTTCCATTTCCTAACAAATGGGGCAATGTCATTCTTTCTGATGAAGGCATAGAATTCCATTGTGTATATATACCACATTTTCTTGATCCATTCATCTACTGAGGGGCATCTGGGTTGGTTCCATATCTTAACTATGGTAAATAATGCTGCAATAAACATAGTTGTGCTGGTAGCTTTAGTGTGGCCTTGTTTGTAAACATTTGGGTAAATGCCCAAGAGTGGGATTGCTGGGTCATAGGGGAGTTCTATATGGAGTCTTTTGAGGAACCTCCATACTGCTATCCAAAGTGGTTGAACAAGTTTACATTCCCACCAACAATGCAGTAAGGTTCCCTTCTGTCCACATCCCCTCCAGCATCTGTTGTTGTTAGAATTCTTGATTTTTGCCATTCTAACTGGAGTGAGGTGGTATCTCAATGTTGTTTTGATTTGCATTTCTTTTATGTCTAGGGAGGTTGAGCATTTCTTCATGTGTCTATTGGCCTTCCTTCTTTCTTCTTCAGAGAAGTTTCTCTTTAAGTCTTTCGCCCACTTGTTTATTGGGCAGTTGTTTCTTCCAGGATTTGTTGTTGGGGGATTTAATTTTTTGAATTCCAAGTATATTTTAGATATGAGACCCTTGTCAGTTGTATGGCTAGTAAAGATCTTCTCCCAATCCGAGGGCTTTCTATTGATATTGCTAGCTATGTCCTTTGCCATGCAGAAGCTCTGCAACTTTATGCAATCCCATTCGTCCAACCTTTCTTTGATTTGTTGTGTTTCTGGGTCTCTATTCAGAAAATTTCGGCCTGAGCCAAGGAGACTTAGAGTTTCTCCTATTCCATCCTGTAATGTTTGCAGAGTGTGTGCTTTGACTTGGAGGTCTTTGATCCATTTGGAGTTGATTCTGGTGCAGGGTGATATATAAGGATTTAGCTTTAGTTTCTACAAGTAGTTAACCAATTTTGCCAGCACCATTTACTGAAGAGGCTGTCTTTGTTCCATTCTATTGTTTTAGCTCCCTTATCAAAGATTAGATGGCTATAGGTCTGTATGTTCATTTCTGGGTTTTCAATTCTATTCCATTGGTCCTGAGGTCTGTTCTTATGCCAATACCAAGCTGTTTTGATTACTATGGCTTTATAGTAGAGTTTGAAATTTGGTATTGATATTCCTCCAGCAGTGTTCTTTCCGTTGAGGAGCGTTTTTGCTATTCGGGGTCTTTTATTGTTCCATATGAATTTTTGGATTGCCTCTTCTATTTCCTTGAAGAATGAGGTTGGAATTTTGATAGGTATTGCGTTGAATTTGTAGATAGCCTTGGGAAGTATTGGCATTTTCACGATGTTAATCTTTCCAATCCAGAAGCATGGGAGCTTTTGCCATTTTTTAAGTTCTGTGTTGATGTTCCTTTTTGAAGATTTTAAAGTTTTCATCATAGAGGTCCTTCACTTGTTTGGTTAAGTTAACTCCTAAGTATTTTATTTTTTGTGGCGCTATTACAAATGTAGTTGCTTTCCTAATTTCAGCCACACTTTTCTCATTGTTGGCATACAGAAAGTCCTTTGATTTTGGGGGGTTAATTTTATACCCGGCTACTTTGCCAAAGTTTTGAATCAGCTTGAGTAATTTGGGAATGGAGTATATGGGATTCTTTAAATACAAGATCATGTTGTCTGCAAAGAGGGAGAGTTTTATTTCTTCTTTCCCTCATTGGATCCCCTTTATGTATGCAACTTGTCTTATTGCTGTAGCTAGGCATTCTAATACTACATTGAAGAGAAGTGGAGAGAGTGGACATCCTTGTCTTGTTCCTGAATTAGGAGGAAATGGCTTTAGTTTTTCACTATTAAGTATAATGCTGGCTGTAGGTTTGTCATATACAGCCTTTATTGTATTGAGGAATGTTCTATGGATTCCTAATTTTTCCAAAACCTTCATCATAAAGGGGTGTTGGATCTTGTCGAATGCTTTTTCTGCATCTATTGAGATAACCATGTGGTTCTTATCCTTGCTCCTGTTGATGTGATGAATAATATTATTTGATTTGTATATATTAAACCAACTTTGCATTCCTGAAACTAATCCTGTTTGATCATGTTGTATGATTTTTTGGATGAATTGTTGAAGTCGATTGGCCAGTATTTTGTTGAGAATTTTTGCATCAATGTTCATCAAAGAGATGGGTCTATAATTCTCTTTCTTTGATGAGTCCCTGCCTGGTTTTGGGATGAGGGTTATGATGGCTTCATAGAATGTGTTCGGTAGTGAACTTTCTCTTTCAATTTCATTGAAGATTTGGAGGAGTATTGGTGTGAGCTCTGCTTTGAAGGCCTTGTAAAATTCCGCTGTAAAACCATCTGGTCCTGGACTTTTCTTAGCTGGGAGGTCTCTTATTGCTGTTTCTATTTCAACGATTGATATGGGCCTGTTAAGCTGGTTTAACTCATCTTGGTTTAGTTTTGGCATGTCAATATTTGCTAGGAAAAGGTCCATTTCTGTCAAGTTCTCAAACTTATTAGCATAAAGTTTTGAGAAGTATTCCCTTATAATGTTCTGAATCTTGGTTGTTTCCGTGGTGATGTTTCCATTCTCATCTCTGAGTTTATTCATTTGGGTGTGTTCTCTTCTTTTTCTGATAAGATTTGCTAAGGGTCTGTCAATTTTGTTAAGTTTTTCGAAGAACCAACTCTATGTTTTGTTGATTCTTTCTATAGTTTTTTTGGATTCTAATTCATTTAATTCTGATTTAATTTTGATTATTTCTTTCCGTCTACTGGATTGGGGTTTATCTTGCTGCTCTTTTTCAAGGAGGTTTAGATGTGTCATTAAATTGTTGGTTTCAGATCTCTCCAATTTGTTGATGTAGGAGCTCAGAGCTATAAACTTGCCTCTGAGTACTGCTTTTGCTGTGTCCCAGAGGAGCTGGTAATTTGTGTGTTCATTTTTGTTGAATAGCATGACATTTGAATTTCCTTTCTAATCTCTTCCATGACCTACTCGTGATTCAGCAGTGTGTTGTTCTGCCTCCATGTGATACCGCACTTTCTTTGGTGGCTTTTGGTGTTGAGTTCTAATTTTATTCCCTTGTGGTCAGAGAGAATGCAAGGTATAACTACAATGTTTCTGAATTTGGACAAGTTTGTTTTGTGGCCTAAAATGTGGTCTATTTTAGAAAATGTTGCATGTGCTGCTGTGAAAAACGTGTATTCTGATGCTGCTGTGTGAAATGTTCGGTAGACATCTGTTAAATCTAGTTGATCTATGCAGCTGTTTAGATCTGCAGTTTCTCTGTTGAGTTTTTGCCGAGTTGATCTATCTAGTGGGGAGAGTGGTGTGTTAAAATCCCCATTGTTTGGCGAGTAGATATTTAGAATTGTAATATCCTCCTGAAAGTGAGATCCCTTAATTAGTATATAGGCACCTACTTTATCTCTTCTCACGAATTTTAATTTGAAGTCTATTTTATCTGATATTAGGATTGCAACTCCCGCCTGTTTATGGGGGCCGTTTGCTTGGTAGATTTTGTTCCAACCTTTAACATTGAAAATGTGTTTGTTTTTACGGGCAAGATGTGACTCCTGAAGGCAGCAGATAGAAGGGTCTTGTTTTTCATCCAACTAGACAGTCTATGTCGCTTAATTGGAGAGTTCAGTCTGTTAACATTAAGAGAAAGGACTGAGAGGTATTTGGGAGTTCCTGCCATGTTATTTACCTTCTTGGAGGTTGCTAAAACTGGGTTCTTCCTATGGTTCTTGGATTTTCAGTTTGGGTGCAGTTTCTTGACCTTTATTGTGGTCTTGTTGGTTTTCTATGTGTAGGACATCTTTAAGAATCTTTTGTAGGGCTGGTTTGGTGGAGATGTATTGTTTCAATTTTTCTTTGCTATGGAAGGTTTTTATTTGGCCTTCAGTTATGAAGGAGAGTTTAGCTGGGTACAGTACAGTATTCTTGGTTGATAGTTGTTTGTTTGTAGGGCATGGCATACATCGTTCCAGGCTCTTCTTGCTTTGATTGTCTCTGCTGAGAAATCTGAGGTGATTCTAATTGGTTTTCCTTTATAGGTGATTAATCTTTTCTCCTTGACAGCTTTAAGGATCTTTTCCTCGGTCTGAGTTGATCCTGTATGGATTATAATGTGACGGTGGGATGTCCTATTCTGGTCTGGTCTGTTTGGAGTTCTAAAAGCTTCTTGTATCTGAATAGGCCTATCTTTTTGCATGTTTGGGACGTTCTCTGCTAGGATCCTGTTAAACAAATTTCCTAGGCCATTGACTTCCGTTTCTAGGTGCTCCTCTACACCCATTATCCTTAGATTAGGCCTTCTGATGGTGTCTTCCAAGTGTTGGATAGATCTATCATATTTCTTGGACTTGTCTTGGATGTTTGTATATTCTTTCTCCATAATATCTAGGCTGTCTTCAATCCCTGAGATTCGATCTTCTGCATGGTCTAACCTGCTGTCAAGACTTTCTACTTTGTTTTTTATCTCTTTTCCTTCTAATTGGTCAGCTCTGATGGCTTCAAGTTCTTTTTTGAAGCTTTGTTTTAGATCTTGTATGAACTTCTTTACTTCCTTAATTTGATGTTCAGTGTTTATTCTCAGATCACTTAGTTGATTGGTTATGGTTTCCTTGGACTCCCATTCCTTCTCTTGGGTTCCATTCAGCATTCCCTTTGTGGTCTCCCTGACTTCCTTCAGCTCTTTGTTAATGGATTCCATGAATGCCTTTAGTGATCTTTGTGTATTCTCTTCCTGGTCTCTCAATTCCTGTATTACTCTTTGATAAGCTTCCTCCTGTTCGTGGGATTCCTGTAGTTCTCTTTGGGTGTTCTCAGCCTGTTCACGCCATTCCTGCCTTTCTCTTTGAGTATTCTCAAGCTGCTCATGCAAATCCTGTATCAGCTTTTGAGTAGCTTCCTCATGCTTATGATATTCCTGTATAAACTTTTGGAATACCTCCTCTCTCTCTCTATCACGCTCATACAGAGACCTTTGTATGCTTTCAATCTTTTGATTTATCATGTTTGCCAGCAGTGTTTGTAGAGCTATTTGGGAATTCTCCTCTGGATTATTCATTATCTGTTCTGTCCCCTGATTATCGGGTTTGGGAATTGAGATACCCAGATTTACCATTTTTCTTGTGTTTTTCTGGCTTACTCTGCCCATTTGAGATGAAAATAGCACCAGTTTTGTGCTAGAATACTATCTTAAGGCAAGCAATCAACCCAAGTCTTAATTTGCACAGTCAATTGTCTACAGATACAATCAAGTTCAACAGATACATCTATTCAACATCAAACAACTATACGTAAATGGGCTATGAACTGCAAAGAAGAATTTGGAAGACCAGAAATTATTAGGGTTAGGGAGAGATGTGGGT